CTGGTAACCAAACGATGAACTGGGGATATGTCAGTATAAATGTCTGAAAGAAGAGGGTGAGTGTCAGTGCACGTAGATCACTGTTGCTGCTGGTGTAGGGGCAAGCAAGCTGAGCTCCAGCAATCATGAGCATCCTTACAACATTTGTGAGTATTGTGCACCAGTACTGCACAGAATTACTTTGTTTCTCACCATCAGACGCATCACTAAACACACACTACCTGATCTTACACTGTTTCAACTTCGTATCAATTATTTTTCGGAAGTAATGAACAAATATATAAATATATTTGAAGCAAAATATTTCATCTAAAAAATCAAAATGATTAATAAAACTTATAAGAATGCACAAATAGAATGAGGAATTTGTTAAAATAATGGATAATGGAATTTAACTTGTAACATTTTCTAGTGATATAGAAAGGGGCCGGGAGAACACTGGCGTATAAAAAAAAAAAGTCCCATGAAACAGTTTTTTTTATACAACTTTAAACTAATAAAGAGAAAGAACTTTTGCACAATAATGAAACAAACGTTAGAATCAGATCACAGATTCAATTACTTGCTTTATATACCAAATTATTGAGGCAAATATTGATTCCTGTTACTGAGGCACATATTGATTCCTATTACTGAGGAAAATACGTATTGATTTCTGTTATTGAGGTAAATATTGATTCTTGTTAATGAGGCAAATACTGATTCCTATTACACCTTGCTGCGGCCACTGTCCTCTGAGAACAATATTTCCTCGTATTACTTATCCCACTGTTATTTTCAAAACAAAAAAATGGCGAGCCACTGTTATTGTTATTTTTTTTTATCTCTGCAGTATTTATTTCCATAACAGTCCTTCATAGCGAATTGCACGAAAAGAGTTTGAGAAATCCTAGTGACTGAAGTCCGCCTCTCCGTGTATATCCAATGTAATTTACGTCTCTATCATAAAGGTTAACAAATTTATATGCAAACTTTTGCTGATTTTGAAACAGAACTGTGTGATAGAACGCTTTGCTCTCTTGATGTTTTGTTTACTTTTGTTTTCCAGTACTCCTGCATTAGGCACTTATTAAAGTGACAAGCCTATAATTTAAAGGCCATTTTTTTATCACTGCGTCAAATCTGATTTTCAGTGAAATTCAAAATACAGCGTTATATTAAGTTAATGTATAGGCGGTGGTGCATGGGGAAGGTCTCTCCTGACACGACCTTAATCATATAAACTCCAGCTTCACGGAGCTTTCCGTCATTTGACAAAAGCCGTTTTTTTGGCTTACCTGTCCACCCCATCAAAAATTCGATACCACATTTTAGTGATATAATATTAAAGTTTTCGACCCCATTTTCAGAAATGAAGCATCACATTTTCAAGTCCTAAGTTCTCCTAGGTTTAGATTAATTAAAATATTCAAGCCTCATCTAAAGGAATCAAACACAATAATAACAAAATATATAATCAGGGATGATGTTATCTCGCGTAATGATTATTGGGTAAACATACAATACTCTGTCGTATGTAAAAAAAATGTAAATACTGAGGTTAGGTATAGTGAAGGACTGATTACAAGTATATTGTTTACAGGTGGTGATGACAGCACTGGTGTGTGCTTCACTCGCTGAGTCTAGTTCCCATGGAAGAGGCAGCCAGGGAAGCAGCCATGGTGCAAGTATCAGAGACGCAAACTATGGTGGTGGAGGCCATGGTGGCAGCTCTGGTATAGTTCATGCCCAACTTGTTGGCAGGCATAGCAGCACAACTGGTGGCAGCGCTGGGGGCAGCTATAAAAGTGAACATCAAGGCCCAAGCATTATACGTTTCCAGCTTGTTGGCAGACATACCAGCACTACTGGTGGTAATGTTGTAAGTGGTGGCAGTTATAAAAGTGCACCAAGGATTCCTACCATCATCCGTGCCCAACTTGTTGGCAGACATACCAGCACAACTGGTGGCAGTATTGGCCGCGACGGTGGCAGCTACAACAAAGTTGAGCATCAGGGACCAAGCATAATACGTTTCCAGCTTGTTGGTAGACATACCAGCACAACTGGTGGCAGTGTTGGCAGCGGGTACAGAAGTGCACCACAAATTCCTACCATCATCCGTGCTCAGCTTGTTGGTAGCCACAGCAGCACAACTGGCGGTAGTGGTAGCAGTTCTGGTGGCAGTTATGGAAGAAAACGTTAAGGGCCAAATATCTTACACGCTCTGCTTGTAAACATACCAGCAGTGATGGCGATATAGGATATTATTAGTTTTGATGGATCACGTAGTAGCTGTGGTGTTTACAGAACACAACAAAAGTAACTCGATTTTACCTTTCTCTCCTGTTTATCACAGGATACTTGATAATGAAATCTGAACGACGTTTTGGTCCGTCCTGCACCGTAACGTCGACCAGATACCTTTCTCATTTAGTAGGTTAGCTGTGAACTGAACTATCCACTAACACGAACGTGTAGATAGCATTTGAACCCCATGTTTCGACTTCGTCGTCTGGGTTCCAGAATTTATGTACAGGGCAACGTGCGGTTTATGGCACTGACACATGAAACAGCTTAGGCCTTCATAATACCAATATTTCGCTCAAGATGTGTCTGCTATCTATGTTGACTCGTTGCCTCTTTACCATGTTGTCCTGTTTCCTGACGAACCTTACCTAACCTAATCTCTGTACCATGTGTTCTCGCAGCTTATAGTGAAAAATATTCTTCACATTAGGCAGTTTACATGACATAAAAATATTTTCGTACCAAAACAAAAATAAAAATAAAAAAATATAAAAAATATACAACATTGTATTATTTTTCTCCTAAGGATAAGAAGCTAATATGAGATAAGAAAAAAAAATCTGGGATAGCCAGATATTTAGCCATCAGTTTGAGAAGAAAATTCGTACTATTACATAGTCAGTCAAGTGTAAACTGATCAGGTTACATATGTTATTATGCAAGCCAATTATTGTCATAATCTAAAATTGTGTAATATACCTAAATAAACTTGCCTACTTGCTAATTAAGATAATTTCTTTCACTGAGGTGTATATTTTTGAGGAAACAGAAAAACACTGTCAAGCTGAATATTAATGTGGTACTGCCAACAGCACTGAAAGCAAGAGACAGGCTGAGGAAGCTTATATTCCCACGACGTTTCTCTCCGGTTACAGCTTGTTTCCAGTAATATTTGTCATAACTTAGGGTTCGGGAGCCAGAACTCGAACCTAGTAAACAAATCAGTGAACACACACACACACACACACACACACACACACACACCAAACTTCCCTCTCTCTCTCACTTTATTCTAACTTCGCATCTCCTGCCAGAATCTTCCCCTCCCTCCTCATGTAACTAGCCACGACCACTACCCTCCACCTCCCCCCCAGTACACAAATGCAGTCTAGTAATTATTTCTTATTTATTTTATACTTTTTGTCTCACTCTGGGGTGATGACATCCTAATAATCTCCAGTTATCCTGTATATAAGATAGGACATCCAGGGAGACGGTAATTGCCATACAACAGTAACTCCAGATCTGCTGGAACGAAACTTTTGAAGCTGCCGCAGCTGATGAAACCGTAAGGGAATATTTGATTATCTTGACCTACTGATTTCTCCCAACTCAGAGTGACAGATTTTAACACTGTAAAGTCCATCCTGTGTGATGGTATATGACAGGGAAACAGCTTTTGTTCCCAATGTGTAACTGCCATAGAAAATGGGGTAGGAGCACACTGCTCATGCATCTAATTTTGCTTAATAAAAGAAAATGATAATAAATCTTCAATTACCAATTATTATTATTATTATAATCAAGGGGAAGCGCTAAACCCGGAGGATTATACAGCGCCTGGGGGGGGGGATGTGGAAGGCATTCAGGCTTAATTCGGGGACCTGGAGCACAGATCCAATTCCCTAAATCAAGAGCCCCTCACCAACATCAAGGAGCCTTCCTTGAGGGGTTCCATTACCAAATCTTGCTCTTTCTAATCCCCCTTCCTCTCTCGTCCCCCTTACCAACTACCCTATTCCTGAGTCACAAGCCTTGACACGAAATCTTGACCCAGTCCCCACCCCTCAGCATCCTCTCGAAATTTATTCTCCATCCTTTTCTCTTCCTATTCTCTCTCCTTCCTTCCCTCCAGCCTATCATCTCAATTTCTTAAGAGATACCTCTCTTACCTGGCCGAAATCTGTACACCCTGGCAGATCCAGAACATGAAATACAATGTACATGACACAAATATTAGGCTTTGGTATATGACTTTAGATGGTCTTACAAAGAAATAAAGAGAAATAAGACAAAGTGTAGAAGATGAGAAACCAGACATCACAGCTTTCTGAGACGAACTCTCAAGAAAAAATAATGCAAGATTTCCAGGAAAATACCACACAGTGAGGAGAGAAAGACAAAGCAAAGGCAGAAGAGTAGTAGTAATTATGATAGCAAGCGTAATGTGAGAGAGTTATCTGAAGCCAGTGGAGTTTCAAAAACTGTGAAAACCGTAATGTGAGAGAGTTATATACTATAGCCGGAACAATAATAAGTAGTATCCCCAACATACAAGTAGCTGTGATATACAAGGCCAATGACTTCTTTTTAGAAAGGGGGAGGGGGATAATGTCACAAAAAAACTACATGGACAAATGCAAAACTGTTGTGCATTTCAGTCAACAGGAGATATAGTGAGAGAAACGGGTCATTCATGGAGGAACAAACACAGAGAGGAACTTACAAACAGTACACCGGAAAGTTTTCTTAGCATTGAAAAAAAAAGAGCAGAAATGTGAAAAAAAAAAGATGGACTGGATCTGGTCTTCAGTCCAAGTGAATCAGACATAAGATTAATGGATTATGGAGAGGCATGAGTAGACAAGAAAACACATCTGATTACCTGAATTAAATAAAAAAATTGAGGAAGTAGGGAGAAACAGAAAACCAAATTATAGAAATGAGAAGCTTTAAAATGTGAATGCAATGAGACCGGGAAATAGAAGTAAAAGGAGTTCATGATATGGAAGGATTTAGTAGACTAATGTAGAAGTCTTCAAGAGGAAACTGGACAAGTATCTTCACCAGATGCCAGATCAACCAGGCTGTTATGGAAATATCGGGCTGAGGGCCACCAGCAGCAACAGTCTGGTAGACGAGGCTAGCACCAAACGAGCCTGGCCCATGGCCGGGATTCGGGAGTAGAAATACTCTCGAAACTCAAAGGTACTAAACATGGATGGCATAAGTTCCTCGTCTTGTTAATCTAGTATCAACCAGCTCCTCGTCTTGTAACTCTAGTATCAACCAGCGCCTCGTCTTGTAACTCTAGTATCAACCAGCACCTCGTCTTGTAACTCTAGTATTAACCAGCACCTCGTCTTGTAACTCTAGTATCAACCAGCACCTCGTCTTGTAACTCTAGTATTAACCAGCACCTCGTCTTGTAACTCTAGTATCAACCAGCACCTCGTCTTGTAACTCTAGTATCAACCAGCACCTCGTCTTGTAACTCTATTATCAACCAGCACCTCGTCTTGTAACTCTAGTATTAACCAGCGCCTCGTCTTGTAACTCTAGTATCAACCAGCGCCTCGTCTTGTAACTCTAGTATCAACCAGCGCCTCGTCTTGTAACTCTAGTATCAACCAGCACCTCGTCTTGTAGCTCTAGCATCAACCAGCACCTCGTCTTGTAACTCTAGTATCAACCAGCACCTCGTCTTGTAACTCTAGTATCAACCAGCACCTCGTCTTGTAACTCTAGTATCAACCAGCTCCTCGTCTTGTAACTCTAGTATCAACCAGCTCCTCGTCTTGTAACTCTAGTATCAACCAGCACCTCGTCTTGTAACTCTAGTATCAACCAGCTCCTCGTCTTGTAACTCTAGTATCAACCAGCGCCTCGTCTTGTAACTCTAGTATCAACCAGCTCCTCGTCTTGTAACGCTAGTATCAACCAGCGCCTCGTCTTGTAACTCTAGTATCAACCAGCGCCTCGTCTTGTAACTCTAGTATCAACCAGCGCCTCGTCTTGTAACTCTAGTATCAACCAGCTCCACATCTTGTAACTCTAGTATCAACTAGCTCCACATCTTGTAACTCTAGTATCAACTAGCTCCACATCTCGTAACTCTAGTATCAACCAGCTCCTAGTCTTGTAACTAGTATCAACTAGCTCCACATCTTGTAACTCTAGTATCATCCAGCTCCTCGTCTTGTAACTAGTATCAACAAGCTCCTCGTCTTGTAACTCTAGTATCAACCAGCTTCACATCTTGTAACTCTAGTATCAACCAGCTCCACATCTTGTAACTCTAGTATCAACCAGCTCCACATCTTGTAACTCTAGTATCAACCAGCTCCACATCTTGTAACTCTAGTATGAACCAGCTCCTCGTCTTTTAACTCTAGTATCATCCATCTCCTCGTCTTGTAACTTTAGTATCAACCAGCACCTCGTCTTGTAACTCTAGTATCAACCAGCACCTCGTCTTGTAACTCTAGTATCAACCAGTACCTCGTCTTGTAACTCTAGTATCAACCAGCGCCTCGTCTTGTAACTCTAGTATCAACCAGCACCTCGTCTTGTAACTCTAGTATCAACCAGCTCCTCGTCTTGTAACTCTAGTATCAACCAGCGCCTCGTCTTTGTAACTCTAGTATCAACCAGCTCCTCGTCTTGTAACTCTAGTATCAACCAGCGCCTCGTCTTGTAACTCTAGTATCAACCAGCTCCACATCTTGTAACTCTAGTATCAACTAGCTCCACATCTTGTAACTCTAGTATCAACTAGCTCCACATCTCGTAACTCTAGTATCAACCAGCTCCTAGTCTTGTAACTAGTATCAACTAGCTCCACATCTTGTAACTCTAGTATCATCCAGCTCCTCGTCTTGTAACTAGTATCAACAAGCTCCTCGTCTTGTAACTCTAGTATCAACCAGCTTCACATCTTGTAACTCTAGTATCAACCAGCTCCACATCTTGTAACTCTAGTATCAACCAGCTCCACATCTTGTAACTCTAGTATCAACCAGCTCCACATCTTGTAACTCTAGTATGAACAAGCTCCTCGTCTTGTAACTCTAGTATCAACCAGCTTCACATCTTGTAACTCTAGTATCAACCAGCTCCACATCTTGTAACTCTAGTATCAACCAGCTCCACATCTTGTAACTCTAGTATGAACCAGCTCCTCGTCTTTTAACTCTAGTATCATCCATCTCCTCGTCTTGTAACTTTAGTATCAACCAGCACCTCGTCTTGTAACTCTAGTATCAACCAGCACCTCGTCTTGTAACTCTAGTATCAACCAGTACCTCGTCTTGTAACTCTAGTATCAACCAGCGCCTCGTCTTGTAACTCTAGTATCAACCAGCACCTCGTCTTGTAACTCTAGTATCAACCAGCTCCTCGTCTTGTAACTCTAGTATCAACCAGCGCCTCGTCTTGTAACTCTAGTATCAACCAGCTCCTCGTCTTGTAACTCTAGTATCAACCAGCGCCTCGTCTTGTAACTCTAGTATCAACCAGCGCCTCGTCTTGTAACTCTAGTATCAACCGGCTCCACATCTTGTAACTCTAGTATCAACTAGCTCCACATCTTGTAACTCTAGTATCAACTAGCTCCACATCTCGTAACTCAAGTATCAACCAGCTAATAGTCTTGTAACTAGTATCAACTAGCTCCACATCTTGTAACTCTAGTATCAACCAGCTCCTCGTCTTGTAACTAGTATCAACAAGCTCCTCGTCTTGTAACTCTAGTATCAACCAG